AATGTTCATTAAATTTTCTTTGCAGGTTGGGCTCATCACAACTGATGGCGATTGAAGGTACATCAACGAAATCAAGCGTTTAAGATGCAGGCATATCGTAGGATATCTATCTCCTGTCCAAAAAATAAGCACTAAAATTGAACTTGAAACACAACAATCAGTCAAAATGTCCATTGTATTGGGCTTTTGTTTGAACGGTAAAACATTATGTAGCGGACAGAGTTCCCCCACGAATAAAAAAGAGTTTAAATGAGTCTGGGTTCCGGGGTACGCACACCATGACCTATTATGCGTCGCGAGGGCGAGAAAATCAGGGCGAGGTAAAGTGAGGATGACGAGGGAAGGGGAGGGGCTGTGTAGGGTATATAAGGAATAGACAAGATGACACAATTATGACATCATCATCCAAAGTTCCTGACCTGTGATTGCGTAACGAATATGTACAAATATTGAACAAATATTCTCTGTCCCTGTCTGCCTCTCTATCTCTCTCTCTCTCTCTCTCTCTCTCTCTCTTGTTGCAGCAAATCAATGAGATAATTATTTCACTATTAAGATAACTTGACAAGGCAAATCAGCCACATATTTACAAATAGTTACTGAGATATATTCTGATACATTACTTTCTTCCGATATTTTCAAGAATACATTTTCCTAACTTCAAACGCAATTACAGAAAAAAGACATCTAAATTCGTACATGCAGATACACATTTTCTACTCAGCTGCAATAAAGTATCATGCTTGTTGCTTTAAGCTTCCCAAACATGGTTCTTCTAGCAAGTTACATGCGCAATGTACTTGTAACTGTTTTTCTTATCAAAATCAAGCTTCCCACAATTTTTTTTCACCGTAACCGCACTTCTCTTCTCAGACTTGCCTATTTGCACTTCCATACCCTAGCACTAGTAATGACGGAATTAATCAATGAACTCGCATTCACATTCACAAGCAAAAGAAAATGGAAAATGGCATTTCCAAATGTAAGTTTGGAGCTTAGCCTCAAATTGAGGTTGTATTCACTGTAATTACCTACACAGATGTGGCCGTCTAAAAAGTCAAGAACATATTCGGGTGGATATTGTGTGTATTGACACTCACACGAGTGTGCATGTGTGTTGTATTAATGTAACCGCGGGTGGGGGAGGAGGGGGGGGGGAGGCGTATAGTTTCCACCAATCATGGATATTTGGACAAAATTATGTAGTAAGACATTATGCTATCAGCACACAAAATTGTAATTATGTGAGAAAAGGAGAGCTTCGGCAATACTGGAAGCCTATCGTTCCATCTATTGTCGCCATATGTAATTGTACTGACCCCCCCCCCCCCCCCAGGCACCGAGAGTGTCAGGATACGTACAATATCTTGTCCAATAATTATGTGGACATTCGTGCTGGTACATTTACATAACAAGAATCATTATACAAATGGAAGACTCTCCGAGAATTCAACTCAAGGGCAAATTCGATACCCTATTGTATATCCCATAGCATTCATGTACGGGTTACGTAAGACGTCACTGTTATGTGTGCACAGTTCAAATGATGATGAATACTGATATTGCCTTATGCTGACCTGTCGAAAATCCTTGCGATCGAGTTTGATGTTTACGACACAGTGTCCCTACAGATCTTTTACGTATCATGGTAGTGTTACTAGCATTAGGAGGAGTTGTACAAGACACAGTGGTTTGTACTCATGTGCCCTAACCAGGGGCGTAAATCCGTACCGAGGAGTGGGGGGGGGGGGGGGGGTTAAGGCGATAGCCATCACATACTAGCACGAGCACACGCCCACACTAATTTACGCAAGCGCGCGCGATCGCGCACGCACAAACACACAACACACACACACACACTCACACTCTTTATTTTGAGTCCCATCACTTAGAAAATGATGTATAATGGTCAGGGGCGTCGCTAGACCTTTTTTTAGTGGGGGGGGGGGGGTTGGGCCAACGATTACCGACAAAACTAGCCTCCAATTATTTCGTCAACTTAGTCAGCATCATAGCTATATATCTTAATGTAGGCGCGGAGCTGGGATCTCATTTTAGGGAGGGGCGGTAGTGAGCAGGCGAATCACTCAAAGATAGCGCGCGTAGCGCGAAAGCTTAGACGTTTCCTTAAATTATTAGGAAAAGAAGACGATTTATTGTACCGTTCTCGACTGTTAACCCTTGTCTGAATGAATTTCCCTCCTCCCCTCTCCCGCGCGAAAGCTTTGGCGTTTCATTAAATTATTATAAAAAGAAGACGATTTGCTGTACCGTTCTCGACTGTTAATCCTTGTCTGAATTCAGTTCCCCGCCCCCCCCCCCCTCCCGCGCGGAAGTTTTGGCGTTTCATTAAATTATTAGAGAAAGTAGACAATTCGTTGAACCGTGCTCGACTCTTAATCCTTGTATGAATTCAGTTACTCCCTCTCTCTCCCGCGCGAAGCGCGGAAGCTTTGACATTTCATTAAATTATTAGAGAAAGTAGACGATTTGTTAAACCGTGCTCGACTCTAAGTCTTAATCTTTGTCTGAATTCGGTTTACCGGAAGTTTTGACGTTTCATTAAATTATTAGAGAAAGCAGACGATTGGGTGTACTAATCTCGACTCTTAATCCTTGTCTGAATTCAGTTTCCCCCTTACCGCGCGAAGCGCGAAAAGCTTAGACGTTTGATTTAGTTATTATAGAAAGAAGACGATTCGTTGAACCGTTTCCGACTTTTATTAAGCCCTATTTATCTGAATTCATTTCATGCCATTTTGAAAAGTAAAAACATTGGCCCCCAGTCGCCCTCGATCGACTATAGCTCACCTGAAATTGGGGGGGGGGGGGTAGTACATTTAGCAGTGTTCCGGATTTTTTTTTTTTTTTTTTTTTTTTTTTGGGGGGGGGGTCTCCAAGGCAGGAAAAGCCAGCGAAAAGCCGGCGAAAGGGGGATTCAGAAATTTTGGCGGTCCTGAGATAGGGGGGGGGGGGGGCTGTGCTTTCAAAGGGATGCAACGAGCATACGCGTACCCTAAATAACACTGAGTGTGGGGGAGCCGGGCATCTACTGTCCATGATTGCACTTTTTAAGCGCTCGCGCGCTGGCGTACTTTACGTATGGGCGATAATAATACCTTGCAAAATAACGAAAAATTATTCTGAAGTTTATGAAGTGCTTGTTCGCGCACGTCGCGCAAGTACTCTTAATGATCGTGACATACTGTATACGTGTAGGCTTTACATACATAAAAAAAAACTCATTTCTCATGCATTATGGTGAAATTGAAACAATCACATTTTTTTTCTTCTTCTTCTTCCTTTTTTTTTTCTCTCTTTTTTGGGGGGTAATGTCAGGGGGGTGTTTGTACAGGCCATCCCCTCCATACTTCAAGCCAGGGGGGATGCAGCCCCCAATCCCCCGGGATTTACGCCCCTGGCCCTAACCGTGAGGTCCTGGGTTCGAATCTTGAATCAACCTTTGTTCATTTTGTATGAAAGCAGAAACTTGAAATACGATAAACGGAATGGCCAAAGTTTTAAATAAGTCGGACCAATAATAAGAAAGTTATGCAAGTTAATTCTATGCTAATTCTATGCGATTCCCATTGCCAGTTTGGTCAGTGGATTATGACGTAGTCAAAATATTATTAATCTGTATCTCCTCCCTTGGGGCATTTCTGACCATTTATTAAAAATACATTTAGTTATATTAAATATGTTATACATTTTAAGGGGAAAATGAAATTTTAGTCATTTTGTGTGTTGGAACAAATTGGAAGGATGTCCGCCACTACATGAAGAGCCAATACTAATTTATAGTCATTACAATTTTTTTAAATTCATAACTTCCTCATTTTTTTAACGATTTCATTAAAACTACTTTCAGTCTACTTATCTGATTTTCTGCTTTCCTATAGAGTAGTTAACTATCAAGGTTGGAATTCCCTTTAAACAATACATTGACAAATATATGCGAATCTGAGAAGATTTCAAAATGAGTTAGGATGTGTCATTTACGTATCATACAACAGCAACAAATCATCAATGTCACCATAGTCATCATTACAGGGTAACTACAAACATCAATTGGAAAATGGCTATAGTTTTAAACCAAACACATTGACTTTCACCACCATAAAGTCATGTAGAATCTACCATGCGTTTCGTGTCATGCGCAATGGACATGATGAATGAAGACGAAACTACTCAAAGACAAAGAACCTACTAGACAAGTTTAGTTTATAATATAAAGAGAATTGTGATGTGAAGCCATGCACTAACGCATGTGCAATTTATTCGAGGCAAAGTATAATTTTCCAAAGGAAAAACCTGCATGACTGATTGAATCGAGCAAATTAATATGCATGAAACCTTTCTATTATAAGCATTTTAATATGAATTTTCATAATTTCTTACTGTTTATCCAATTTCGTTCGAACTTTCACCAATATAATTGTTCTGCTTATTTTTTGTTTTATTGTCACGGTTGGATTTCCCTTTCAAAGTTTCAACTATGCTTGCTGTTGTGACGGTAAGCAGGAGGACGACATAGGCGACATAGGGGGCATGGGTCGTGGGGGCGTGGGTCGTGCGGGAGGGAGGGGCAGTAATTGATCGCATTATCTCCGCTACCGCTATCATCCCGGCATCCTGACATCCGGAATGCAGAAGGAAAAAGTTCATCACCCAATGTGAACTGAATAACACGAAAAGGACATTATTCGTATCCACATCACTCATCGTCCACTCATGAGGACTCTGTTAATGTTGGGGGCACAATGCATCGGCCCATGCAAAGTGTCCTGACTGTTTGAAAGGGGGGGGGGTGATTAAGTTCGTTGAACAAAAATGCATCATTGGTGTTGTTAGTCGCAAAATCACAATTATGAACCAAAGGAATCTAAAAGTAGACGAAGAAAATCTCATCATGTTGATTGATGAAAAATTTAGACAGTATTATGTGCATGCATTTATAGCTATGATTATGCCAATCCAGGCTTTTCCCAATTAATGAGGATTGCACGTCGTTTCCAAAACATTTGAATAGAAATTATGGAAAAGAATGACGATAATTTATGAACAATTATTATTGGACCTACTTGAAGTTCAGAACGAATCACTCTCTAGCTTCGCCGTTCACCCCCACCCCGACCCCCTGGCTTCTTCGTCTTCCTGGTCAAGCTGCAGCTCCACCTCCCCCCTCCAACCAACCCATCTTTCTTTCTTTCAGCCAAACAATGGATGGCACAAGGCTACCCTAATATTATTGTCATATTACCACGCTTGACTTGCAATGTATGCAATAAGTAAAGTCATCGGGTGTGGCGTCCACCAGATCCCCTAACCTCCCGCTCCACGCAGGCCATGGGCATGCATGGGACCCTCAATTATGATTGACCAGCGGGAGAGTAAAACACTCCCATGACTCCCAACATCATTAACGCTATGTGTAACTAAATTACTTGCATCGTCTCTAACATACAGCCCCACGCTTGCGTTATTATGTGCCGAAGATTGATCATCAAACTCCCTGAATATCATAATGGGCTACAGAGCGTATGGTGGTGTGAGATAACGTAGCGGTGGGGAAGATTCGCTGTCCACCCGATTCTACCGTATCATTATGCGAACAGTAATTATGCTGAGAGAAGATGAATCCCAAAACGGATCTTCACTGCACATGCGCAGTGCATTACATTACTTGCAGCAGCAGGCTGGGGGAGAGTGAAAAAGCTATGGCTTACGTGCGCTCTCATGCCTACCCGCTATGTTTGCACGTATTTCCAAGCAGCGGGCAATTTTCCATCATGAACTTTCCCCCAAACTTAAGTTATTTTTCGCCAATAGAAAACCTCTACAAAGTTGACATTTGGGGAATGTATTCCATAATAGTTGCAGATTTTGCCCATTCACGGGTTTTGAGCAAAAACTTTTGGTTTATTCGTTAGAATGGTTTTAATTAGCAAATGTCGGGTGCTAGGGGTTAAAAATGGCCGTTTGGGAAGGGGTGGAAAACATAACGAAATCTAAAACATACCTTAGATTTGCGCTTCTTGCGGCCTGGGGTCGCATGTCCTGTACCTCCTTCCAGTTCTTTTCGCCTGCAAACGAGCAAAAGATGAAAAATTAGCCCCTTTGTCTATACATAACTGGGCGCCTCTCATCAAAATTTTCACCCAAACTCCCATAGCCGTCATACACATACACACCATCTTCCGCACACAAGCAGTGTAGTCTTACACTACATCGCACACCGAACCAAGTTATTAACGATCCTAGCTTGCGCGCCATTTTGGAAAGAGATTTTGTTTTCTCTCTCTCCCTCTCTCTCTCTCTTTACCCTTTCCAAGCGCAGACTATAATATCGAGTTAATAACGGTTTTCCCTCTTCCCTAATCTCGTTTGTGACTCACCGCTTTTTGAACGACTCCAGCAGTCTTTTGTCAATGATGTTATCCTCTGGTTCCCACGTACTATACCTGGGAAAAAAAGAAAAGCAAAAGAAGCCACAAAAGTTATAGGCATCCCGTCAATTCATCATTTTGATGTACAAGTTTTCCCCTGTTCTCCTCTTTTTGGCGCGACACGGTTTGATGCGACCAAAATGCAATCCCAAAAAGGTTTAGAAGTTAATCGTTTTGCTCTGTTACAAAAAAAAAACATTCGCTAGTATTTTGGGGGTAACATGGTTTTATATGGCAAAATGCAACCCCGAACGATTTGGAAGTTTATACTTACTTAATGGACCATCCTTTCCACTTAACGAGATATTCTGCTTTGCCCTGTGGAGATTAAGAAAGAAAACGAGAGAAAAACATTAAAGAAAGAAAAAAAAAAGGAGAATGATAAAGAGAGATATAGATTGATGGGTGGATCGATAAGAAGTGAAAGTAGAATGGTTGAAAATGCTTTCGTGTAGAAAGGCTGTAATTACTCTTCGATTTATGTCTTATTGTCTGAAATGTGACTTGGATCAGAAAGAATCGGTGTTTTTGATGAAGTCTTCAAGAAGGAGATGAAAAAAAAAGAAAATGAAGAAAAAAACTTAAGGATGGTATAAAGATGACAGAAGAGATGATGAAAACGTAGAAAAGTAGGAGAAGCAAAAGGAGGGGAAGAAGAGAGAAAAAGAAGAAGAGAAATAGAGGAAGACAAGATAAAAGAAGAGTGTGATAATAATGAAGAAGAAGATGATGATGAAGAAAAAGGAGAGGAAGAAGAATAAGAAGAAAGAAGGTATATGCGAATAGTTACCCTTCGAATCCTTCTGTTGAGAAGCGACTCCGCCGCATAGACCCTCTCTCCGATGTCACTCAGCTCCATGCTGGAAATGCAGCTCTTTTTCTTCTTCATGAGAAGCGTCGGATAAACAAGAGGAATAGGAGCGGGGCCGGCCCTGTCGGAATGCCCCGGCTGCTGGCTAGGCGACGCCCGCTGCTTACAGCAACACAAAAGACACACACGCCTAGCCCGGCTGGCTAGCTTGCATGCATGCAAGGGGCTGGCAGGCTGCAATGCTGGCTTGTCGCGGTGTGTTTAGCCTCGATTCGGGAGTGTACTGCGGCTGAGGTCAAACTGGGACACTCCTCGATCAGAATGCCCTTGTCATAGTTATCGAGATAAGAAGCCCCTCGTTATTGTGCTGGTATGCCGAAGAAAATACAAGGTTGACCCGCGATGATACGTCTGCCTTTTACCGACAGTCAGCTCAGCTCAGTTTCTTCATACGAAGGCGATGAGAGTTCTATTCCTTCCCCTTCTTCTTACACAGCTCTGCGACGAGAAGGGAGTGCCGCCACTTTGCTATGAGAGGAAAAAAGCGAAAAGCCTTCAATTTCGTTCGAGAGCGCCTATGCATTTCTCGATGCAAAACTCGTATGCACGGCCACATGCATGACTACGACTTTGCATGTATTGCCGACTCTGCGAATGCGTAAAGGGGAACAATGTCGGAGCAATTTACGACGCTGGCGGGTATTTCATGCGTTACAGAGAGCAATGTTGACAACAAGCTAGCTGCAAGCTGGCTTGAGAGCTCGGCTCAATATTCCATGAGTGGGCCCTGCCCGTATAACACAGGAAACGCATTAAAAAGAAAAAGAGGCACGAAGTCCCTTCGCTCTCGAGCTAGCTGCTAGCACAAGCTTCCCGTTAATAACTATCCACATACACACAGAACCCCAACCTTGTATGCACAGTAAATCTAGGCATGCATTGCATTGGCAAAGCTGCGCAGATCGAAGCGTAACATTCACAGAGCCGCTGCCCACACGGCGGGGGTAGGTACAGTGTGCGTATGGCTTGTAGCTGCAGCAGCGCTCTAGCTCGTTTTCGCTCTCCCTTCTTCTCTCTCTCTCCCTTTCCCTATCTCTCTATCGCTCCACGTCGTAATGCACAGGGCGTCGGTTTATTACTGTCAAGGCACAACCATGCTGATAGAAATGGGGGAAATTCGATCTAACAGAAAGCCTTCGGAGGCTCCCAGCCATATTCTTCATCATGGAGACGTGATAACTTGGGATTTCAAGCCCGATTCGATCGACCTTCATTCTACCTCGCTCTCCTCTTTTTTTCTTCCCCTCTCTGTCTCTTTCCCCTCAAATCGTTCTTCTTTGAATGTTTGATGAGAAAATACATCGAAGCTGAGTTGAGCGGGAACAGTAAGGCAAGTGAACTGAGGGCATTGGAATACCTATGCGTCATTCCTTCAAACATTTACATTTTCAACAATCTATTGTTCTTCGTGGGTCTCATCTCCTATTCATTCATTTCTTGCGCCATAATACTGGAAATCCAAGACAGATCCTTTGCCAGTTTCGTTGCTTTGTATTCTCATCACAAACAATACATAGTCACCGTCAATGATTTATCATCAGGCATTCCATTCTTATGGCTAAAAAAATCTCAACGAATCCTATGATAATATCAAAGATAGTTTTAATGATTAAACAAAGATGAACGTCCATATTCTGTTAATCTTGCGAAATAATATATTTGGTGAACGAAATAGATTTGAAGAACAATTAACGGTCATGACGGTAATCACAAATCTTATTGTTGTTAAAATTCAAACTTTCTTTAGAATCATCAGTTTACAGTTGTTCTCGGTAAATGTTATGTAGGCTATACGAAATTGTGAAATCATTTCATCGTCAAATAGTGATGTTAATTCATAAATAATTAACTTTATCTTAGGGATGCTTCGCAAAGAACGAAGATTGAAAACTTAACTCTGTTGAGTACTTTGTAAACTTATTGTTTGGTTACGCAGTGTCTTCATGGAAAGATAAGTTAAAACGTACCTGGTATTGTTTTGACATTTTATGCAAGTTCATTTGATAAATGGTAATGATAAAACTGAACAAGAAGAAAAACGATGTCTAATCACTTTAACAACTGACCACATTATCTCAAAGGGAGAGAAGAAATGATAAAATAAGTTAGCAGATAAAGGCAATTCGGATAACAAACAAGAAAGAGAAGAGATGATAATGAGTAAGAATTGTCATCATTGAAATGAGCATTAAACTGACCACCCGTTCTTCTTTTTTATGACATAATTATGGTATGCTTGCGAACTCCAAAAGATTACTCTCATAATATATTTGTCTTTCCTTAAAATAAAAATTATGTTTGAGCGCATTTCTTCATTATTGTTACATGAAAACAATATCATTTTGAATAATTAAAAGGAGCCTCAAAATAGAACGTGATTATGGTCTATACATTTGATATAAATGCAAGAAGATTTAGCTCTTTTCTATGTCATCTTTCTGCTCTAACATCTTGTATTCTTTCTCCTGCCCCTAAAGTAGTACATCATCCAATACTTCATTCTACCATCCATAAAGTCGTATATAGCCATTATCATTTTCATCAACAACTCACCTTGCTACATTCCGCTTTTTAACTTTTTTTGTTTCTCTTTATATTTACTCTATTCATATTTTCTAGAGCTGTCTAACTCAATTTTGTTCTAGTGGTAAATATATATCTGTAGTCCTTCTTATTTCACATCAATTGAAAACGAATGAAGGAAGAGACATGATATCAAAAAGATTGCTAATTTGGGAGGTTCATTTTCTATGGAAATCTAAAATGAGAAATAACAGTTCTCAATGATTTAACAAATATTTGAAACCCGTCACAAATTAATAAAAAAGAGAGAAGAAAAGATAGAAAGAGAGAGAGAGAGAGAGAGAGAGGGAAGAGGGAAGAGGAGACAGGGAAAAACAAAAAGATAGGGGATTACTGATGATGGAACTTTAAAATAACTTATGTTTTAACATAATTATAACTTATATTTTAAGGATTTTGTGAATGTCCGTTATTTTTATTTAAATTTAGTTTGGTTATTTCGATTTATAATCATTTGATCCACTTGTAAATATAAGTTTATACAATCATGTATACTGGGACTAAATAATGATACAGATAATCATATCAGTGCTCTTTTAGCCGTGTGCAGGTCATCAAATCACTAAATCATTTAATCTATTCTTCGATAAGCGAAAATTTCTTGACTATATTACCATTACTTTTCTATAACTTTACATTATTGTTATCTAAAATCTGAATATCTGAAGAAATATGTGACGACTTAAGATTTAAATAATCAGGTATAAGGTAAATTACTGCGGACAAATTTGTTGTTGCATTAGAAAATAACAAAGATGAACATTGATTCTCTTTCTGTATTTTTTTTAAAGCAATTAACATTCATTATTTTGCTCTCTTTACCATTTTTGAAAGCAAAACGTCTCATTAATTTTGAGTCATAATAAATATGTATAGTAATTGTTTCATTAAACAATTCAAACTAACGATGTCTTGTCTTTTAAAGACCTTACAATGACAATTCATAGAAACATTTACAAAAGCAGTCTGGTTAAAGTTATAAGCATGTTTTCGCTAAAAAAATGACACCATCCTTTTCAAATGTACAAACATGAGACCTCATTTGAAGACATTATCCTCTTCATACAATTTTACATCATTGTTATCTTTAGGTATATTCTTCCCAAGCAATAGGGCCAGTTATTTTGTTCTTTTTCGTGCTTTTAAAATTAATGTTAAAATTGATAACATCTGTTTTTAGTTTACGGTAAAATCATATTATAAGCTTTTAATAAAAGTTCATCCTAAAATGAACCTCTCCTTAAGAATAAGTAAAAGTGTGTCGCAATGATTTCAGTTGTAATCAAATCTGTTTGAAACAGATCATATACAAACAAACAAAACAAGATATACAGTTTACCCTTTGCTCATGTTTTCTCTTTCAACTTGATTGAAACGTGATCGTGTAAACGTGATTAAAAAAAGATGCTGGTATAAGTGTAATGTTTTGCTTTGGAACAAAAATGTGTATTTATCGGTAAGAACATGATATCGGATGCATTAACATTTAATGCATGAACGAGTTACAGATAGATAAGGAGTGTGGAAGGAATAATGAAAAGCAAAATATTTTTCAACGTCTTGAGTTGTTATTTTAGGGGTATCAAGGAGTAGTCCGAGCGAATTTGACACTAAAATGAAAAAAAATTCTTGCATAATATTGATGGTGTTATAATGCCTCAACAAAACCTTTTCATTTCATTAACAGGATCATTGGCGGTAGGGGAAGGGGCGAAGAGTGAAAACTTTCTGTCTCTCCATAGCAGTATCATATCCTATGATAGAACATCTGACACGAGTTCAATTTGCAAAAATTAGGCACAGATGGGACATAGTTATAGACATTTTGTTAAGTTGCTATAATTTTCAAATGCCACCCCAATCCGCCACCGCTAATTTGTTACAAAATATATGTTATCAATCAATTTTGGCTTATGAATTACGAATTCCGACTTCGATTATGATGCACGTTTGTTACCTTAGTATCTTTGTTGTTTGCTCTTGGGGGGGGGGGAGGGGGGAAGGGGGTGTGTCTTGATTTGATTCGATTTGTTTTTCTCGTGTTTCTTTTCTTCTTTTTTTGGCATACGTTTGATTTTATTTGAATTTTTTTGCTTTCATCTTCTGACTTAATGCAGGATGATCTTAAATATATTCTCATTCATCTTCACCGTAATTTCGATCTTTATCTTTATTTCTTTTCTTTAATATCTATACGCAAAAACAAGTACATGTATTTCGAGTTAATGTGGGAATACTCAAAGCAAATCTTGGGCCATAAGAACAATTATATCAGTGATCTTATCCTGGCTATATCTAACTCTAACATCTAACAACCACTTAGATAGATACTTCACCTTAAACAAACGAACATAAAACTTGTGATATTGTGACACAAAGAATAAGGTGTGCGGTCACACCTCAGTTCATAATTAGAGAGGAACAATAATCCCTGCCCTAACGGTAATGGAATACAAAGGAGGAGAAGACTGGGAAGCACGTCTGTGAAGTTTAGGGTAAACCTGCATGACTCGAACTTCGTTTAGAGCTTCCATGGTCGTCACTGCTGCTCTGAAAACGGAGAGGAAATTAAATCTGACTATTAATCTTTCATTCATGACTCAATTTTTTCCCTACCTCTTGCAAGTGATGTGATGCATATCTCTTTTTCAGCGTGAGCATTAGCATTAGGGCATGCGCATCCACCAGCAGTTTGCCCCGTGTGTGGTACGGGAGCAAGTTCGCGGACTGAATGAAGGGGATTCACGTTGGGCAGTTGAATTTAGACGTCCATTGTTATGGTAGAGACTGTACAGTCATATCCCCTCCCTGCCGCTGTACTTGGCCGTAGCCTGACCAGATCGAATTGGTACTTCGTTCTTGCTACACCATCACGACAGGGACTGTACACTTAGGATTTTGGAAAGAGTAGAAAGTCTGCCCTTTTCTGAGATTATGAAATTATTCGTTATAGATATCACCTAGGCCTATCTATGAAATGCATTTAGCAAAACTTCTCAATTTATACATGCTATACGCCTAGTCAAAGTCTAAATGCTTCATTATTAATGGCTATAATTTCTAAAGTGATATTATACGATGCATATAATGTATAAATATAATTTAAACATAACTATGACAATGACATGATCCTCGAAAAAATAAAATGAAAACGAAAAAGGGGTTAAAGAAAGAAAGAAAGAAAGAAAGAGAAGCAGATGGAAAAAGAAAGAAGGATAAGAGAAGAAGGTGAAAAATATTGAGAAGAAAGAAAGAAAAGGAAATGGAAATGTAAAAAAATATAGATGTTAAAGCCAAGGTACTATGTCCCATTTGCAGACCCAAAAAATAAAAAGGTTAAAATTTCAACGGCATTTGAAAGATAATAGTTATTTAGAACTTCCCCCCCAAAAAAAGGGGGGGGGGGCTTGAAAATGTCTTTAAGTGGGAAAATAACGACTATATGTTGTCAAATCGACTCAAGTGCTACCAAGTCAGTAAGTAATAGTCTGGTGTTCAGACCATTGTACCGAATGGTCGTACGTTTCAAGAGTCAATCAGATTATTTTTGGCCATTACAAGAAGTGAGTTATTGATGTAGACAAATGCTCATGTACCCTTTACAGCTCATGTTATGTATGTTATTACCAAAAAAGAAAAAAGCCAGTCAGTCACTCAATAGTG